TCAATATAACCGAAAAAGTATGCATTACAGCTGATATAAGTTTACTTCACATTACTTTCTGGCATGAATTTCTTTACAAGAATATTGAACAGCTGGCTCATGGAACTAACCTGCTTCTTGTCAAGGTGTACAGATTTTCTATTCCATTGTTGGTATTGACTGAAACGTTAAATATGTACTGTCGATATGCTCTAACCCAGCGCTAAAAATGAAATTGAAGTACAATTTGTATATTTTCATTTCGATTTGTTTTGTTCAATATAAATAATAGATGCAATTTAATTCAAGCAGTGACACATATTTTAAATGTTTTTGAAGGGGAAAATAAATTTTATGATTTAAGTTCCCATCGTCCTCACTGGTTCACTGTTTCGTATTTTTTCTTTGAAATCTTCTGATATCATCTCAACTTCTTGTTGTTCCCTAGTATTTAAGCACATTAACAAAAAATATTGGTAAAAATAATTAAAGCATGGTCATTCAATATACCTGGTAATATTTCAGCCAAATTTTCTTAAACCACTTCTGTGTGTTATTCTCCTGCCATTATGAACTTGACTGTAAATACATATTTTGTCTAAAATTATTCACTGCTTTTAAAAAAAGTAAAAATTGATTCTAAACTTTTTTTAAATTTAAATGCTTGATTGTACTTATATCTGAATGCATATAGATCCATACTAAATTATTCCATTTTCTTCAAGGATGCAGTAACCTCGCGTGTCCCAAAGTTCAGTCTTTCTGTAAGTCTAGTTTTAAATTTTCTTCAAGTCCGTTAACTGTACAATTTTTCACTTGTGCAAAAGCTTCAAATATCTAGTCAGCTTAAACATCTGGCGTAGTACTGGACCGCAACTGGAGAGTTTCATGAGATTGATGTTCGGCACATAACGTTTTTATACATGACATTGGATGGTGGTAGGAGAGGTCCCCCTCTGCTTATATTTATATGATAGTATACATTAATCTGGGTGGATTTTCAAGAGCCATGTATCACCCAATTATTCAAGATTTTTTAAGTCGTAATGAAGTATAACTTGGTCTGCTTTGTTTCATGTGGAATGTTAAATAAGGATGTTTTCCATTTTTTTCATTAGTTCAAGACATTTCGTGAGACATCCTTTGATTTTAACAGTTTTACTTGTGATATTTTCCCTTGATGTTTTTTTTTTTTTTTTTGGTATGATTCCTGTTTCAGGTTGGTGTTGCAATTGTGTAATTTCAGTCACAATTTGGAAAAGTGCGAATCACTGACAGAATGTGCTTGCATGGTAAGTGATTCTTCTGAAAGTCCATAAAAGAACATTCTTGTTTTTTCCCTAGATTGATGGTATATTCACACTATGAATAATAAACTCCCAATTTCCAACAGCCGACGCTCTTTGCACGTTAAGAACCCTTGCAACAACTCTTTGAGGGGTCCGTAGGTGACCTGTTGTAAGGATAAATTTCTGTCCCTATCCAATATACCCTCATTTCCCGTGGCAGTCTAAATTTCTGCGACCTTAATCCCGGAAGCCCCTATTACAGAACCTACCTATTGTATTTATTGTTAACTTGTTCTCGTCCTGAATATGCATGAAATATTTGCCACTGGACGTTAAGCAACCAACAATCAATCAATCCAACAGCCGAAACCTTTTTCAATGGAATTTAAAAAAAACTGATGGTGGCAATTTCGTTTAGTGGTTTACAAATTAAGTAGGACGGTTGTGTGAGAATTTTATAATGAAATCTGCACATGTCCTGTAGCCTTCCAGACTTTTTTTTATTTTCTGTATACACAGAGTGAAGCATTAGATAAAATTACAACATTCAATGTAAACTATTTTTAAGTATATTTCTATAGCACTGTAAAACAGATATATCAAGCCTTCATATTTCATAAGTTTTACTTACACCAATGAAGGTGTATCTAATTTACAGTATAGATATAATTGTTCATGAACATGCTGGCTTTCAATAAATTAGGATGGTGTCATCCAGAAATTTAACCTCATTCTGTAGAAAAAGCATGATTTAATATAATGGTTTAGAAAATGTTGAATGAATATAGTGCTAAAGTTCACCTCACAATGTTCAAAAATAAAAGATTGTTTAAGAAAATACGCCGAAATGAAAAATGTTTGTAAACGCACAAACAGCTTTTTAAATGTATTGGATTAGCTACTAAAATGTAATCCAATAGATAAGCATATAAACACAACCTTTCATAGCTCGCTGGTAAAAGTCTGTGAATAATTATGGACAGCAAACTAGACAGAAAAGATTCACTTGTCTCTGCTAAATTGTCTTTTTGCAACCTAAGATACTGCCTTTCCAGTCCATTAGAACTGTTGACTCTGATGTTAAACATATTTAATTTGAAATATGGACAGCAAACACGACAGAAAAGAATCACTTGTCTCTGCTAAATTGTCTTTTTGCAACCTAAGATGATGCCTTTCCAGTCCATTAGTAGTGTTGACTCTGATGTTAAACATATTTACTTTGAAATATCTAACCTAACTCCTTTTTTCTTAGGTTTACTTCTTGCATTTTGCTTTCTTTTTCAACATCACATTTTTCCTCGAACAACTAGATGTTAACGTAGTTGTCCATGACTAGCATTTTACTTATTTGTGGTAGAGCATACATATTCTCTTGATTCACAATGCCTGGCTGAATGGAATACCACGGGAGCAGTGTTAAGGATTTCAACTTTTAGGAGAAAGGAATTGACGTTTGTCCGTTTTATTTGCATGAATGTCCGTTATAATGGTTCCGTTCTGGATGTAACTCGTAGTATCAAGGCAATGTATTTCCTCCATAGATGTTTCGTATGTAAATCTAATTAAATGGTGGAAAGAATTAATGTTCATGAAGATGGTCTTGTGAATCTGTCCATTTAAAATCAATAGCGTCAATACATCGAAACCATGATAATGCCTGGAATGGAGCACTTACCAAGAGGCGTTTTTTCAAGTTGGCCCTTAAATATGTTGGCATATGACGTGGCTATGTTTGTGTCCATACTTGTGCCCTCTATCTGGAGATAGTGTTTGTTATTGAAAGGGAAGTCGTTGTTGTCCAGCACTAATTTCAGATGTGTAACAAGACTCTTCATACACTGCTATTTTTTCTTCTGGTGGAATGTTGGTATATAAAGAAAACACGTCCATGGATGCAAGTATAGTTTTGTTTGGTAGAGGATTGAGGCTTTCACTTTGCTTTAGATAATCAGTCGTATCCTCTAGTTCTTTAACATGAGGTCCGAAGTTTTGGTACAATGTAAACAAGTTCGGATATCTTTTCGCTGAAAAAAACTGGTCGACCTGGATTGTCAGTTTTGTGTATTTTAGGCAACACATATAATCCAGCCTTTGCTTTGTTCTCAAGAGGTCGAAAATAGTCAAATGTGTCATTATCGATATGCTTTTGGTTGTACATCTCTTAAAGTATGATGTTGATCCTTCTGTTGGATACCAGTATGTTGTAAATTGCTTATACAAAATATAGTTTGACAGTTTGATTCCCCTCTGCTATGTAATCTGTTTTATTATTTTACCTCCAGGTCTTCTTTATCATCAGGTTTTTTTTTATAATATCCTCTTGTTCTTTAAACGCTTCCAATGCGATACTTTCTGACTTGGATAAATTATTATTTTAATCAAAGAGCTTGTAACTGTTATTTTTTGCTTAAAATCTTTCCACAATGATAATTTAGCTTTTCAATACATATTAATGAGTGTCGTAAAATTCCATTTAAATGTTCTATGTATCTGTCATACAGAGTTTTATCTCGACTTTCATTCAGAGCTGCTAATCGTTCCATTTTGTAGTTAAACTGAAAACTTGCATATTCGTATAGCAAATATTCTGGTAAATCTTCGTGATAATGTTGTTTTTCCATCCATTATAAAGTCGAGTTCTTTTGATGTATCAGGATGACAGAGAGGTTTAGATCCTGTGGCTTTCTGTTTTCAGGTTCATCTTGACAGACTGTAACTGGCTCCTCTTCTGTCACATTTGTATTCATAGTAATGTCTTCTTTTAAACAGGTAGGGGTACAATATTTGGAATATACACAAGGGAAGGAAAAAGGGGGAACATTCATAAAATATTTTATCTCTTTTTTTGGAACTCTGATGTGGTGACTCCATGATTCTGCTCTACTCGGAACAGCGTGAACATTGAACTGCAGTGGACGTGAGTGATAGGGGAATGGACCTCAACACAGCTCACTCATCATCCACATCTCAACGTTGTATTGGATATCATCACACAATGCTGGCAGCCTCTTGGGCAACCGGCATGCATTGCAAGATCAAGACATGTAAGCATAATAACACAATGAAACACTATTGCATCTTCAATTCTAATCATTTAATTATACCCCACGCAACGAGTTGCTGAGGGTATAATGTTTTTGACCCGTCCGTCTGTCTGTCCGTCCGTCAGTCCGTCAGTCCTGTTTCTTGTCATCGCAACTCCTCTCAAACCACACAACAGAATTTCACGAAACCTTTTTAGATAATAAGGACATACTATGTAGTTGTGCATATCGACAGGAAATTACGATTTAATTTTTTTTCTAGGAGTTACGCCCCTTTGAACTTATTTACTTTAATGTACTACTGCAACAGTTTGTCATCGCAACTCCTCTCAAACCACACAATAGAATTTCATGAAACCTTTTCAGATAATAAGGACATACTACGTAGATGTGCATATCGACAGGAAATTACGATTCAATTTTTTTTCTAGGAGTTACGCCCCTTTGAACTTATTTGCTTCAATAAACCTCTGCAACAGTTTGTCATCGCAACTCCTCTGAAACCACACAACATAATTTCATGAAACTTTGTAGATAATAAGGACATACTACGTAGATGTGCATATCGACAGGAAATTATGATTCAATTTTTTTTCTAGGAGTTACGCCCCTTTGAACTTATTTACTTTAATGTACTACTGCAATAGTTTGTCATCTCAACTTGTTTTAGATTTTAATGATGCAATTGGAAGCCAGAGTCAATTCGCCAATATATAGGACAACAGGCAAAAATTTATTTACGCCCAATCCAAAATGATCTTGAAACTTCACCTTCCACACCAGAGCCAAATGATGATACATACTCTGGAATGTGTGAATTTTGTGACAACAAAATGAATGTTAGAATGCTGAGAGATCATTTGAAAATATGTTCTGCACGGCCAAACTCAGAATCAGATGAACTTCCTGATCTTGCACCATCTCACAGACATTCTTCAACTACAGAACCATCCACATCTGCAACCTCTCAAAGTCAGACCTTAGCATCAATCACACCTGATCTTCAGTCAACATTGAATGACAATATGACTGAACAGCCCCAAGTTGTGGAAGTCTTGGAACCAATTTCTCCAGGTATGATTGCATGTATGAAAATGATGTCACTGATTTGAAAATTAAAATATGTCCTGATATTCTATAATATGGTATCAACTATATTCAGAAATATGCAATAGGAAAAATTAGGAGTTTCCTATTTTAAATACCAAACAACTGTTCCAATTTATTGTTATACCACCGCAAAAAATTTGCGTTTGTATATTGCTATCACGTCGTCGTCGTCCGTAGACATATTGGTTTCCGGACAATAACTTTAGTTTAAGTGTATGGATCTCTATGAAAATTAACCAAAAGGTTCAATACCATGAAAGGAAGGTTGGGATTGTTTTTTGGGGTAATGGTACCAATCGTTTAGGAATAAGGGGCCAAAAAGAAGCATTTTTCTAGTTTCCGGACAACAACTTGTGAATAAGTTTTTTTTTATTGCTCTGAAATTGTACCACAAGGTTCAATACCACAAGTAGAAGGTTTGGATTGATTTTTGGGGTATTTGCCAAAATCGTTCAGGAAGGAGGGGCCAAAAACAAAATTTTTTCTAGTTTTTAGACAATAACTTGTGTTAAAGTGTGGATATCTCTTAAATTGTACCACATTTTTCAAAAATAAAATTTCATCAAAAAAAATTTGCGGGGGTGGGGTGTAAAAAAAAAATAAATTTCGGGGCAATTTTTTTTTTCTTCAAGATTTAAGAAATAACCATTTTTTTCCCAAAAAAAATCAGGGGTCAATTTTTTTTCGGGGGGGGGGGGGATTTCTTTTTGTTTTTTTTAAATTTTAGGTTTTTCTCACAATTTCTTTTGCTATTTCTTTGAATAAAGTCTAAAAATAGATTTACTCAGTATTGCGCAACAGCACAGAGTGTATTACACAACAGCATGAAATCTTCAATTGAAAATAAATTCAAATCATTTAACCAAGATCACGTTCTTTGACTACATTTATTCTGTGACAGAAACCTATAATGTGTCAAATATTTAATTAAAATCCAAAATCAGACCTGTATCAATCTTGAATATTGTGTCCATTTTTGCCCAAACTGTTCAGGATTGGAACTCTGCGTTCAGATCCAGCTGCGCTCGGCAAAGCACATTTTTAAGGTTTAAATTACTACTTATTGACATTATTTTTATAGGTATGCATTCTATTTAATCATCCCCCCGGTGGATCGCTATCCTTGCCGTGGTCGGGGGGCTTGCGTGTCTCAGTGACCCCAAGAGCTATGCCAGTTGGAGCTTCGTCTCCTGGTAGGGTTACCCATGCTGGACAGGTCGAAGGGTAGAGACCAGACTAAAGTGATCCGAACATCGTATGAGTTGCCCGATGTTTTAAATAAAATAGGCTCTCCAACCCGTTGGCCGTGGGTTGCTACCCGTGTCGGTGGTTGACGAGATCCTTGCGGATGAGGGCTGTAGCCAGACTTCTTACGGTCAGAAAAATACCCGGACGGACGAGACTATAGTTCAATAAGCTGCTTTGGCTCCAATATCATCTAAACGGGAGGTCGGATGGACCCGGTTCGATCAAATCGGCTGGTCATGTCGAGCCCTTCAGTTAATCCTCAACAATAAGCTTTCTTGTAACAATTTTCATTATATACACATGTGTTTTAAATTAAGCTATTTATATTTCGGATAACTGAAGAAGGCGATGGCTCATGGGTCAATCAAGTGGTACGCTTTCTATTTCGCTTGATGGATACGCTCTGCTTGAGTATACTATTCTTGGAACATCTGGTGCTTTCCGCAGTGGATCTTGGGTGCTAATTTTGGGGACCAGCTACGTTATACATGTTATACTTGGAGCTCGTTTTCAGCATTAGCACTTGACCCCGGCTCGCCACGGAAACACAGCATCGCCCTTGTAGGCACTCCGAGGTGGGTGGATGACAAGAATGGTGAATCTTTCTCATTTCCTATGGCACAACAAAACCAACCCTCTAAATCAGCTTTAATACATAAAAAAAGAAAATGTGATGATTCAGTGCCCTGTCAGGAAGATGACAGTTGGCCCAGATTTATTGTAATAAAAGGAACAGATGAAAAACCAATTTCCAAAATATCTCCCTTTGTGATTCACAAACAAATTCAAAGCGTTGCTGGTACTGTAAAAAAAGTTTCAAAAATGAGATCAGGCAATTTGTTGGTTGAATGTTCCAACAAAAGTCAGTCAACAAATTTGCTTACACTGACAACAATTACAAACTTTCCTGTTTCTGCCTCTCCTCACAACAGTTTGAACAGCTGTAAGGGGATCATTCGAGACAGAAGTCAATACCTTGGTGACCTTACCGTGGAAGAAATCTGTGAGGAACTTTCAAGCCAAGGTGTAACTGATGTTGTTAGATTTCAAATAAAAAAGAATGGAAATATAATCAAATTAAATACATATCTTTTGACATTTAGAACTCCAACTCCTCCTCCATCTATTACTTTAGGTTGCTTCGGAATCAGAGTTGACAGGTTTATCCCTAACCCAATTCGATGCTTCACTTGTCAAAAGTTTGGTCATGGAAGCAAACAATGTCGTGGTACGCAGAGATGCTTCAAGTGTTCTGACGAAGGACACGAGGGAACAACCTGTAGCTCTGAATCTTCTAAATGCGTAAACTGTGGTGAATCCCATTTTTCATCATCTAGGGACTGCCCTGTTTACCTTAAAGAAAAAAATATTATCAAAATTAAAACAGAAAGAAACATCAGTTACCCAGAAGCTAAACAGATAGCTTCTGTTTCGAATGATCTCCTTGTTTCGAACAGACCATCGTACGCCAGCAAAGTTGTCCGCTCATTCAGTCACGAGCATACACAAACTCGCATGACCTGGCCAATTGATGCTGAGACATTTACAATGCTGCCTGTTGAAACAGAACCTAACGATAAAATATTAGTTCCAAGAAAACCAACACCTTCTAAAACCAGTACTCAGTCAACTCAATCTTCCTTACAGAGCTCAATGTCATCATCTAAAAATAATGAAAAAAAGAAATCAAATAAAAAAGATACAGTTAAATCAGACAGTTGGGGCGGTGAATCTGTCTGGGATCTTCCCAGTGACATAGATGATTCTTCCATCTCCAATAGTCCTCCTTCATCTGCATCTAATAAAACTAGTTTATCTTCTGCATCTAGTACAAAGTCTTCTAAAGCCCCGTCTCCTCTTCGTTCTCCAGAACAGAAGGATGTCCCAAAGAAGCCAGCAAATACATCCTCTCAGAAGTCTTCTGATTCGAGGTCGCGGGGTAGGGGTCGAGGCGGAGTAAAACCAGCTGCGCATGGTCCTGGAGATCGACGACTCTCCTCACACAACAGATTTTCAACACTTAACGACGAATCAGAAATGGAAATCGAAAGTGTTCCGCCACCCGAAAGTTTACAATCTCAGGGTGAGCGAAATAAGAATGCTGGCAAACTCGATAGCATTCGCCCGTCTATTAACAAATCATGACTAATATCATCCAATGGAATTGCCGAGGTCTTAAAATAAATCTTCTCGAGTTAACGCTTCTAGTTCAGTCATTTTTACCTACTGCATTTTGTCTTCAAGAAACTCATTTAAAAGAAAGTGACAATGTATCTTTAAAAGGATACAACATGTATAGCACATTTTCTAAGGTAGATGAACGTGCTGCAGGCGGATCATCCATTTTTGTGAAGGACAACGTCATTCATAGCACAGTCCAACTCACCACGGATCTGCAGGCAGTTGCAATTCGTTTATCATTAGATAAAACAATTACATTATGTTCTATATATATTCCACCCAATTCAATTATAGATAAAGCTAAACTCAAAAACCTCACTGATCAATTACCCTCACCATTTATACTTATGGGCGACTTCAATGCACACAACCCCTTGTGGGGAAGCAAGTCTCATAATATCAAAGGTAAGATCATTGAGGACTTTGTCTCTCAAGAAGGATTATGCATTTTTAATAATGGATCTAATACTTATCTTCATCCTGGAAACGGGTCTTATTCTGCTATTGATATCACTATTTGCGATCCCTCTCTTCTTCTGGATTATTCATGGCGTGTTCATGATGATCTATGTGGAAGTGATCACTTTCCAATAGTACTTGAACATCTTTTTACTTCTGCCCAACAGAGAGTACCACGTTTGAAACTTGACAAGGCGGATTGGTCCTTGTTTGAGAATCTCTGTCAAGCGGAACTTCAGTCAAAGATGTTTGAGACTGTACAAGATCCAATTTTAACTTTTAATACAGTTTTAACGTCAATTGCTGACAGAACTATTCCTAAGACCTCGGCAAATCCGAAACATCCCAGCAAACCATGGTTTGATGATGCTTGTGATCAAGCAATAGGTGACCGTAAAAAATCTGAAAGACGGTTCAACCAACAACCAACGACAGAAAACTTGAGTAATTTCCGTGTTTTTCGCGCTAAGGCACGGCGGACTTGCAGGCAAGCACGACGAACGTCTTGGAAGAAATTTGTCTCGGAGATAACATCTCGCACTCCGATGACAAAAGTATGGAACATGATACAAAAGATAAAAGGTAAAAATTCTAAAGCCACAGTTAAACATTTAAAAAATGGCAATGATTTATTAACATCTGAAAAGGATATTGCCAACAAGCTTGGTGAAACTTTTGCGAAATCTTCTTCTTCTAACAACTACAGGGAAGATTTTAAAAAAGTTAAAAAACAAAAAGAAAAAATTAAATTAAACTTTAAATCAAAAAATGGTGAAAATTATAATAAACTCTTTTCTCTTGAAGAACTTAAAACATCTCTATCAAAAGCCCATGATACAGCTTGTGGGCCTGATAATATTCACTACCAACTGTTAAAACACTTGCCAGATTCCTCGCTGGAAGCTCTTTTGCAGCTTATGAATAACATCTGGGAATCTGGTGATTTACCATCAATCTGGAAGCTTGCAACCGTCGTGCCTATTCCAAAACCAAGTAAAGATCACACGGATCCTATTAATTATCGGCCAATTGCTCTTACCAGTTGTGTCTGTAAAACACTAGAACGGATGGTTAATGATCGCCTTGTTTGGTTCCTGGAATCCAATGGGCTTTTAGCCAATATCCAGTGTGGATTCCGCCAAGGTCGTAGTACTCTTGACCATCTTGTTCGATTCGAATCATTTGTCCGTAATGGTTTTGCGAAAAATGAACATGTAGTGTCGGTCTTTTTCGATCTAGAAAAAGCCTATGATACTACATGGAAGTATGGTATTTTAAAAGATCTGTTTGATATGGGGTTGAAAGGCAATATGCCAAATTTTATTTCGAATTTTTTATCTAACAGACAATTTAATGTTAGAGTAAATTCAACCATGTCTGATCTGTATGATCAAGAGATGGGTGTCCCTCAGGGCAGTATTTTATCTGTTACATTATTTAGTCTTAAAATCAACAGCCTTGTTGAAGTTTTAAAAAGTAATATTGAAGGTTCATTGTATGTTGATGACTTTTTAATATGTTATAGAGGCAAAAATATGAATAACATAGAAAGACAATTACAGTTATGTCTTGGAAGAATTGAAAAATGGGCCTCGGAAAATGGGTTTAAATTTTCCACTTCAAAAACGGTCGGGATGCATTTTTGTAACAAAAGGAAATTGCATCTTGATCCAGAACTCACTTTGTACGGCAACCCAATTAAAATGGTTGATGAAACCAAATTTCTTGGGTTAATTTTCGATAAAAAGTTAACCTTTCTACCCCATATCAAAATGTTAAAATCGAAATGTTTAAAAGCATTAGATATTTTAAAAGTTGTCGGCAGCACCGACTGGGGTGCTGATCGCTACATTTTACTTAATTTATATAGATCTCTAGTTAGATCTAAACTAGATTATGGCTCTATAGTGTATGGCTCTGCAAGGAAGTCCTACATACAGATTCTCGATGCTGTGCATCATCAGGGTTTGCGTCTCTGTCTTGGCGCATTTAAAACCTCACCAGTTGAGAGTCTGTATGTAGAGGCTGATGAGCACTCACTCTCTAACAGACGTTTGAAGCTTGGACTTCAATATGCTGTCAAACTAAAAGCCTACTCAGATAATCCTGCCTACAGCTGTGTTTTTAATCCAATTTATGAAGATATTTTTGCAAAACATGAAAATAAAATTCCCCCGTTAGGTATACGTTTAAAACCACATTTAGCTTCTTTTGATTTAAAATCTGTTGCTCAAGTTGAAACTTGCAAATGTCCTCCATGGGAACTTCCCAAACCAAAAATGATATTTGATCTCCGTGAACACAATAAAAATAAAACAAATCCTCTTTTAATTCAGCAACACTATGCTGAAATCAAAGCCAATTATTCAGATTTTTCAACTGTCTATACTGATGGATCAAAAGATGGTGACAGAGTTGCATCTGCTGCTGTCTTCAGGGACAGAGCTGCAACTCTCCGTTTGCCATCTGATGCATCGATCTTTACTGCTGAAGCAGAAGCAATAATTTTGGCTTTGAAATTTATTGCTTCTTCAGATAAATCCAAATTTATTATATGTTCTGATTCACTTTCATGCTTACAAGCTATACAAAATACTAAAATTAAAAACCCAACAATTCTCAAAATTTTATATGTAATGAGGAATTTAAAAATTCTTCTTAAAGAAATATTATTTCTATGGGTGCCGAGTCATGTTGGAATCCTTGGAAACACAGCTGTAGACCTTGAGGCAAAGAATGCCCTGGGTGACCCTTTATCTAACTGTGATATACCATATACCGATTTTAAATCTAATATTAGAGAATATGTTTTTAATATATTGAAAAATGAATGGAGTAAAAAAGATGGTAATAAATTACATGAAATTAAACCTAATTTATGTAAACCTTTCAATAATTTTATGTGCAGAAAAGATCAGTGTGTTATTTCTAGATGTCGTATTGGTCATACTAGAATAACACACGAATATCTTTTAAAAAATGAAGTAGAACCACAATGTATACCTTGCAACTGCAAGTATACTATTAAACATGTTTTAATCAATTGTATTGACTTTGCTGATATTCGTAAGAAGCATTTCAATGTCAATAATATGTATGATTTATTTAATAATGTTTCATTTACAAATATTGTTTCATTTTTAAAAGAAGTTGGAATATATTCTAAAATATAAAAATGTTATTATATTTAAAACGATTTAAAAATTTTATCACGTTATCTTAATGTTCATTTTTATTTGTAAATAATCAATTTGCTTTAATCTAGAATTTTAGTTTATTGAAGGACCTTTTGTCTGATTTTAAGAATATGCTTTAAATTGTAAAAAATATTCGAATTAGCTCTCGCCGCGATATAGCCTTGTTGTGCTAATGCGGCGTAAAGCAACCAACAATCAATCAATCAATCTATTTAATCATAACTTTTAGAATAAATTGTTGTAAAAAACTTGGCTGTTCTAATTATGGCCGTTGTTAATATTAGTGAATACACTAAAACTGAATATATGTAAAATGTGTAAGACTGAATGATTCGATAATGCCTAATTCTTCGTATTCGGCCTAAAAAAACTTTCATTTGTTAATAAAAAATAAAAATTATTGCATTTTTATATAGTAACACCACTGACCCTTCAGTAACTCTAATGACAGACACAAAAGAATAACCATTGACAACAAATTTCAAATTGTACTTTTATAAAGTACTGAACACAAAACAAAGAACACTAAGCAAAAGAAAAAGAAAAAAAAATAATTCTTAGGCTAAAAAATCCCTAATTATATAACATAACATCAATAACTAAAAATGTCAATAGTGTTACTAAATAGTGTCATTGGTGTTACCAGCATACACCAGGTTGTGAAAACTTGGTATAGGTAATAAATTTTATGGATAAAACATTGTTAAATAAGTATTTATTTCATAAATAATATGATGTTTCGGTTGTTAAAAGCAGGTTGGGATCCCGTTAACATGTTTAACCCCGCCACATTATTTATGTATGTGCCTGTCCCAAGTCAGGAGCCTGTAATTCAGTGGTTGTCGTTTGTTACTGTGTTATATATTTGTTTTTCGTTCATTTATTTGTACATTAATTAGGCCGTTAGTTTTGTCGTTTGAATTGTTTACATTTGTCATTTCGGGGTCTTTTATAGCTGACTATGCGGTATGGGCTTTGCTCATTGTTGAAGGCCGTACGGTGACCTATAGTTGTTAATTTCTGTGTCATTTGGTCTCTTGTTAAGAGTTGTCTCATTGGCAATTACACCAAATCTTCTTTTTTATATGAAAGAAACACAAAAAAATACTGATTGTCTTAACATATTCAGTGGTGTTACTAAACTGGTCAATGGTGTTACTTTATTAAAGTTGTCTCACCATTGACAGTAACACCAATGACGTACAGGTGTATTTTTAGATTTAGTTGCAAAATAAGTGCTCCATTCCCCTATTTTATATGTTTGTCAATGGTGCATGTTTCTATAATCAATAACTTTTCTTATCAAAGTTTAGGAAATCTTTCAGAAAATGATTTTTATACTGGTACATTTTTTTTTTGTATTGTGGACAATACTGGTATTCCAGTATTGTGGTTGCAAACTACAAGTGATCCAATTAGTATTGTCTGTTGTAGAAAATAAACTCTGCAATAACAATATAACAATTATATTAATATTAAAATATGACACAAACATTCATCTGTTTAATATTTATCAGATTGCTGGGTCGGTGCAATTGTATACTGGGCGCATATTTTTTTCACTATCCTATCAGCTGTGCAGAAAAATTCAAGTGCTGGGCAGGAACTTTATATAATGCATGTACTTTTTAATAAACAACTCTGTCATGTCTGTGGTTCCATTTACTACTTGCTTCCTTTAAATTTCTAACATTAAAAAAGAAGTATTTCATGTATTTTCAAAATATAAACAAGCTTTTGAGGATTATCCAAAGAGGGGATATGCAACCTGGTATAGTAGCTCACAGATTTCTTTGTTTTTAAGGAGTAAGAGATGGAGAGCAAGAAAACACAGTTAAAACAAACATGGAAAATATCATTACCAGCATTGTGTCAGAATGTGTGTCCCACTGTACAGAGACAGGAATGAAAGATCCTGTGGACATCCTGAGATTCTTTCAGAGCAAGATGGTATATGGCAGAGATCTTGATATCCAGGATGAGTCATCCACAATTGAAGGGGAGACTAACTTCATTTTAGTTGATAGGTCAGACATACTTCAGTCTGCCTTTGAGGATATTGAGGCCATCACTGATCTCAGACTGACTTTAAAAGTTCAGTTTCTTGGAGAGGTAACAGTCTGTAGTCATAAAAAGTAATACATGTACAACTAGTTTACCATTGACAAACATCTTGGAAATTCGATAAAATTATAGCTACTGTGTGTCTTTTTTCAAAATGGAACTTTTTTCGGACACCAGTATCAAACATTCCTTCAGTCCCTGGAAGCAATAAAAATACGATTTCTTGGGACCTGGAACCGGTACATTGCATGATTGCGTAACGTACAAACTTTTGGTTCCGTTAATAGGTCTGCACACCTGTCTTTGGAAAATGACTTTTAACCAGACATTCATGGATTTATGATGGTGTCTGTACTACTGTATTGTCTGTACAAGAAATAACCAAAATACTCGGTAGGGGGACGGTAGCATACAATTTCTACGGGTCCCTAGAACCGGTACAAATGATTTTTTTTACATTCCAGGAAGCAGTACATTTATAAAAATTAATACTTGCCTTGCATGCTACAAATTTTAAAAGTAAAAATTCGTAAGGGTTCCGCGGAACCCAGTGTCTCGCCTACTTTTGCTGTTAATCGCAGGCTCAACAAAAATGATGAAAAAAAATAATAAAAATATTCCTCTCTATACTATGTTTTGATTGTAAGTAGCTTCTGTCCAAGTTAAAATTTTAAAAACTTGAACCACAGAATTTACTTCTGGATACTTTCTTATGATCATAAACAAGCTTTTTTCCAAGTTTGGTAGAAATCCAGGTTAGTTTAAGAAAGTTATTAAAATTTCAAAAACTTTAACCACAGAGTGAATGTAATGTTTCCTGGCAGAAAAATTAAGTCCATTTATAAGTAAAATAAGGAAAAAATGGAATTTTATTTTTTACAAAATTTACTTCTAGATATTATCTTATGATCACAAACAAGCTTCTTACCAAGTTTGGTAGAAATCCAGGATAGTTTAAGAAAGTTATTAAAATTTCAAAAACTTTAACCACAGAGTGAATGTAATGTTTCCTGGCAGAAAAACTAAGTCCATTTATAAGTAAATATTTGTGGACGCCGCCGACGACAACGACGACGACGACGACGACGACGACGCCGACGGAATGTAGGATCGCTATGTCTCGCTTTTTCGACAAAAGTCGAAGGCTCGACAAAAACCAAGTCAGAATAAGTACAGAAATAACAATAAGCGTTTTCATCTTATTTTTATTTATGCAACTGCATACTAAATACCATTGATCTAGCATATGCAGTAATGCTAAATACAGATTTGCGGAAACTTGCAGCATGCTATTGCTAAAATTCAGAGTCACTTGGCTGCTATTGCTAAAATTCAGAGTCACTTGGCAGCCATAGACATACATTAAGTATGGGATAGTGGTGTACTTATGCAATTGCATATCGAATGTTATTGACCACTTGCAAAAATTCTGAAACTTGATTGCCATCTCCATGTAGCCATAAATCACATCACCAATTAATAACCAAGTTTCATTACGATCCACCACATCTGACATAATATATATTTCAGATTGCTGTTGATTTGGGAGGTCCAAGAAAAGAGTTTTTTGCCTTGATATTAAGGGAAATAAAAGAAAAGTACATTACTATTTTTTTGCTGTAACTCAAATTTACATCTACTGCAAAAATAAATATATTAGGCCAGAAACTTAAATAAATAAACACTCCACGAAATGATGATGTTGAAGCATTTCTAATCATTTACATGATCTAATTACAACATTTTCCTAATGTTCATAAGATAAACACAATAAAATATGAAATTTGAAGACTTTGTCATAATGAAGGTAGAGCTACTGTCAACCTTTAAACAAACATTTTAGTATGACAATAAACAGAAGAAAGATTGTCGTCTTTAGACTCATAACAACAGAACAAGTTGTTTGATCTGATCAATAAATGGAAGCATGTCAATTATGGATTTTATAAAATGATACACTTATCTTATTTATATTCATGCATAAATAAATGACAGTTGCACAAAACAGACTAAAAAGTGCAACAGCTCAAATGCATGTCTGACATAAAACCATTGTAAACATTTAAGTATATGTAGATAGAGTTGTCGTCAAATCAGGTAAAATTTCTATCATGACCTTCAACTATGGAATGGTGCAAACTATCTGAACAAAAGTTATCCAAAAATGACAGAACTTCTTCACAGCCATCATTTATACTACCATGAAAAAATACAAAAACAAATCTCATATCATCATACATGTTCATTATGTCTATAATCCTCTTTTAAGGAAAACACTGATTTACACTATGGAAAAACAGGCTTGATAAATGTATGCATATATCTGAAGAAGCAAGAAAATGTGTTTCTGCTTCACTCGCTCGGCATATATTTGTCATGAACCCCAATATTAAAACATTAATATACTAGATATGAATACAAATACAAAGAGCTGATCATGTAATTGTTAAGCTGAAGCCTTGCAAATTGTTAACACTTTCCCCATTTTCATTTTTATACCCCCGCGTTTTAAAGTGGAGGTATATAGTGATGGGAAAGTCCGTCCTTCCCTGTGTCCGTCCTGCACACTATGTTTCATTTTGTATCCCCTACTCCTCCTTAACCACTTATCAGAACGAAATGCCATTGTGCACCTCCTATTTTGTTTTTGTTGAAAATCATTTTTGGGGTTTCTATTTGAAAAACATGGGACTATTGCCATGAAATAGGGGTATCCATGTTGTATCCTTCTAAACCACTGATTATAATTTAATGAAACTTTCCCCGATTTTTTTATGATATAATGCCATTGTGCACCTATTTTGTTTTTGTTCAAAATCATTTTTGGGATTTCCATTTAAAAAACATGGACTTTTCAATTGACAAAACCTTGGGGGTATCCATGTTGTATCACTAACTCCTCCTAAATCACTTATTATAATTTAATGAAACTTTCTCAAGATTTTTTATGATATAATGCTATAATGCACCTCCTATTTTGTTTTTGTTCAAGGCTATATTTTTTTAGTTTTTATTTCAAAAACATGGACTTTACCATTGCCATATAACTGGGGTACTCATTTTGTATCAACAACTTCTCCTAAACTGCTAATCATTATTTAATGAAACTTTTGGAGATTCTTAATCATATAATACCATTGTGCACCTCCTATTTGGTTTCTGGTCAAATTGATTTTTAGAGTTTCCAATACCAAAACATCAACTTTGCAAGGAACAGCAGTATAATTTTGTGAGCTCTGATCACAGTACCTCTAGTTTATTCTATGTTAAATAATAATGATACCCCTCATAAAAAGTATACAGCTAACAGGAAGTTATTCAGTGATGAAACTGAAAACATATGGCTCACTCATATTAACCTTTATACCACATTTCAGAAAGCTAAGTTCCATAAAAAATGCACCAAAATTAATCAACTAACATATATGTTAAATAATATGCAAGTGTTCATTTCACATGTTGAGTCATGAATCTTAAAATTTTACATGGTATAGAACACATTTCTATCATTGATACTAAATTCCAGAAAGATCTTGTATGTACTTCTGGAGAAAAATAGAACGGAAATTTTCAACTATGTATAAAAGAGTTTAGTGTTTGGAAGTTGTTGAGTGATGAATCTGAAAACACAACACATGGTATAGCCCACTCATATAAAAAAAAATATTTATGAGACAGACATGCTGAAAGAAAACAGTTTGGTCCCCTTTTATAAAGGGAATACATATTTTTATGAATTTAGAAATATACTAACTGCGGTAATTGACCTGTGCATGAAGTCTTTCGATACGCTGACAGTTGGTGTATCTAGCTGTATCCAGTCTGCAGGAGAGACGTGTGTACTGGCTGGCGTGGTCAACGTGTTATATTGGTTACTTACTGGTGTCCTAGTGTTATATTGGTTACTTGCTGGTGGGGTCATTGTGGTATATTGGTTACTTGCTGGTGGGGTCATAGTGGTATATTGGTTACTTGCTGGTGTGGCCATAGTGGTATATTGCAATTGGTAAGTTTGCGACGAAGATGGAGTGGCATTTTGAGGCGAGTTCCTCGAAGTTGACAGTGCTGGTAGTTCTATATGACTGTCTTGACTGTCAGAACAAGATTGGACCTCAAATTTAGGTATCTGCAATAAAAAAAAAATTAATATCAATACTACATATATTTGAAAAATAATACTACATGCACCTTTAAATTCTGAAGTCCAGTTTCACTAATTACAATTAAGGCAAAATATGAACTGTGTGCCACATTTTTAGGCTTTTAGGTTTCCAGAAGCCTCCAGTAATATTTGTAACCTATTTTGAACACAGACTGTTTCCAAGTTGAACAATTTCTTCCATGTATGGTAATTTAGTCAACCAAGAACATGTATCCACACTACACAGATTCCACAATTGCACTTTCATTATCCATGTTCAGTAAACCATGGAATTGGGGTCAAAACCCTAATTTGGCATACAAATTAAAAAGATCGCATCATAATGAATATTTGTACTTTTAATTAGTTTTAATTCTATGTCACTCACTTTCTTTTTGGAAACATGATAAACAAATTGTGTAAAATTGTATTTAAAGGGCAATAACTCCTTAAGAGATCCCTCAACAACTTTGGTGAATGTGTCACTTTAACTCCTTGTCAGATTTCTCTTCATGCTTTAGTTTTTGAGACATAAGCCAAAAACTGCACTTTACCCATATGTTCTATTTTTTGCCATGGCAGCCATGTTTTTAGAAGAAACAGAAAATAAAACATAAACTTAATTCTAAATACCCTAAGAATTATTCAGCTAAAGTTTGGTTAGAATTATTTCAATACTTTCAGAGGAGATTTTTAAAATAGTTTACGAGGGATGAAAATGGAGCCAAGTAGAAATGGCTAAAGCTTACATTTCATTTAAGGAAACATGAGCTAAAAATACATTTTTTTCAGTGGTCTAAAAGTCGACGCTAGGGGCCGTATTGATCTCATAGTAGGGTATGAATGATTTGTTCATTGTTGAAGACCCTACATTGACAGACAAGTTGAACAGGAATAAAAGCCCTGTATATTGATAATTTGTATTTTTTCTATGCATTTTGTATGAACATTTACTAAATATCCCTTTATTTTCTTAAAATGTTGATGTATGAGATTCTGCTTAATATGCGACAAAACATTTTCATCACACATGAAAATATATTACAATGCAACATAAAGTGATCCATAATTTGGTTTACCCATACCTTTTCTTTTGTGTGTAAATATAAGTGAGGTTTATCTTTACCATATTCTACCAACTGTGTGAAGGCTGCCTCTTCGCCCTTATAGTTACCCAGGAAATACTCCATCCTGTGTAGTTTTCCTTTAAAGTTTTTCCCATTCGGAAAAAAAATATGCACCATCTCCTGGAGGACGTGGCTTTGGGTCAAACATTTATTCATCTGAACTGGTCTTGGTCCAATGTTGAACTGTTTGGTACTGTTTTTCATGAGAATGTAATTATTTATTGAATAAGAAAAGTGCTGCCATCCAATAATTACAGCCTTAGTTCTACTCCCTGAGGTTGTTTTCTTCTGTAAAAATGGAATAAAATTAATTTTTTAAAACTTTTTTGAATAGTTGAAACTTGATTAACTTTTTATATTATAATATGAGCATATAAACATTTTTTATATTATAATATGAACAAGAAGTTGCACACAATATTGTGCTAAGCATACCTCCCCTTTAACTCAGAAGAATGGCTGAACATATTGAAAAAATTACAAAGTATCAGGAAACATGAAGTTGGTAATGAAAACATTTGAAAAATTCTCACATTTTACAACTCATGACTGTTAAGCTGGTGGCCAAGTATGAAGTCATTCCACGCATTCATATTGGAGAAGTTTTGGACAAAAAATTTTGAAGTTCATGTTCATATTGAATTTTGTTTTAAAGCATCGGCAAACAGGAAAGTTTTATCTGAACTAGATGTGTCAAAGCGACACAAATGGCCCTGTCCCAAAAAGTTGAAAAATCTGCAATTTCAATATAAACACATGTGGACACAAACATGATGGTAGTCTCACATATAAAAAATCAGCTCAAAATCTGGAGGCGTATAGAAAAAAAGAAACTTAAACTTGATCTATAACTCATCCTGGTTAACTCACATACCAAATATCAGCCCAATATCTGAAGGTGTTTCCAAAAAAAGTCTGTACAACTGTGATTTTCAACAATTTCTCAAAGTCCAAAGCCTGTAATTTCGGCAAAAATTAGTGAAGCGGAAAGATACTGAAACTTGATCTGTAACTCATCATGGTTAACTCACATACCAAAAATCAGCCCAATATCTGAAGGCGTATAGTAAAAAACTGTATAATGGTTTATTGCCGAATGACGGAATTATGGAATTTCAGAATAACGGAATATCAGAATTACGGAATTTTGGAATTTTGGGACAAGGGTCAAACTATATGGCACCGACAACTTTGTTGTTTGATGAAAAATGTTGAAATTCATTTTACAAATTGAAATGTTTTCAAATTTAATTGTCAAACAGGATTCAAAGTTGGTATCTGAAAAATCTGAAAACATTATAACTCATTGTTAAGCTGGTGGCCAAGTATGAAGTCATTTAGCACATTCATATTGG